ATGCCTCCATTCACAAATAGAGTCAAGAAACTTTAAAATAAAAAGATACCAAAATAGGAAAAAAAAAAAAAAGGATAATAAAAAAGGGGTGAACTGAAAACTCCTTACAGCAGGGACAAAAAGGGAACCCAGTGAAGAGCCCCTTCAAAAATACCGAGATGAAAAAGGGTAAAAAAATCCTAAAAATAAAAAAATAAAAAAATCCACCAGCACCATAATTATGGATGAATCATCATCACCATCATCCTCAACATCCTCGACATCCATCATCGCATCATCCATCACCGTAAAGAGAACCAAGCAGCTAAATCCCCACCGACGCGCCTCCGCGCAGATTGCACGCGCTCTTCGGCTATCAACGGCGACCTGCAGAGTGGGCAATTGAATTTGAGGTGATCGAGCCAGCCATCAAAGCAGTCCTTGTGGAACACGTGACGGCAATCCAGCTGCCTCACCCGATCCCCATCCCTTAGCGTGCACAAGCACACGACACAATCGGAGCTCCCGCCACCGTTATTGGCATCGCAACAGTAGCTGTAGGAGAAAACCCTATTGAGGTTGAGCTGCTCGGTGAGGACGATTAGGCTGGCGAGGCCGGAGCCCAGTAGGCCCACTTCGTCGACGGTGGAGTCTGGGCTGGGAAGGAGGCCTGTGGATTTGAACAGGCCGGAGAGGAAGTTGCGAAGGCAGCAGACACAGTTGGCGATGAGGGCAACGAAGAGGAGAGGGATGGAGTCGGAGGACACGTCGTTCAGCTGGCCCTGCAATCCCATCTTTCCCCTCTTTTTCTTTCCTGAGTACACAGTTTGAGAGTGGAGAGGTGGAGAAGGGGAGGAAGGCTTCTGGTGTTTATGAAGGGGAAGTGTAAGGAGGAGGTGGGGAGGGTGTATTTCATTGTCAGGCCATGTGTGGTGGGGTCAGATGTGGAAATTGATGTTTATGTCAGAAATAAGGAAAGTGAAGGGTAAATTGTTTTTTAAAAATATTTTTTAAACAGTTATTTAAAATTTTATATTTTAATTAATATTTTTAAAAATTAATAATTGAGTAAAAAATTATATATATATAAATTATAAATATATATATATTTATTACATTCTTAATTTTATATATTAAAAATGTAATGTTATATAAATCCTTTCTTGTTTGCTTTGGTTGATTGGGGCAGAGGTG